AGACTAGGTGCGCTACTCTAGGTCTTTCTGTTAATGCGACCAAGTTGCGAAAATAAGGTCAAACAACTACTGTAGGAAAAAACACCGAAAAAGAGAAGTAAAATAACAAATGGGAAAGGTGGCTACAATCTGCTACACAGCAGAAAAATTCCAGATTTTAGTCTAAAAATTGTATATATGCAACCATTTATCACGTCTGGAGTAAAGTACATATGTTGAACCAAAATTTTACCAGTTAAGTTCTCAGGTTTACATGGTGAAATCGGTAAATATGGAAGGTTATTAACAAAAATGGACATTTTTACTATCACAATCTTCAGAAGCTGGCGCCTTCCAAATTAATTATTTTAGCAAATCCTAATTTCTGCAATGAAAGTCTTTATTATCATTGCTAACATTAATCAAAGATATGAATACCAAGTTGGTGTGGACTTTTGTGTGGTGTTTGTCTCCTTTCATTGTATAGAAATTGTTTGACCTTGTTTTTGCAACTTGGTCATATTGGTAGGAAGACTTAGAGGAACGCACCTATGCATGATAATTTCCAAAGTCACGTCCACATCCACTGTCCGACATTGGAAAGGATCATGCAGACAGTGGACTCCGGACTAGGTGTGTTCCCCTAAGTCTTCCTACCAATATGAGCAAGTTGCGGAAAAAAAGTAAAACAATTTTAATACAATTTAAATCAAAGATATGAAGACCAAGATGGTGTAGCCTACGGTATGGTCGCAGTCACCCACTTCTATAAATACAATTTTGTTTAATCGGCAATCCCACAACAGGATGTGATATGAGCAAATGTCTGGCCTTCCTTTCAAATTCACATCTGGCCTGTCACCCAAGGGCACTCGTGGCAATGTCGCGCAGTTGTTAACGTATCGAGGTTATACGCTGCAGTGTCATAGCTCGAGTCCCACAGGAGGCATTGCTAACACCTAGGCGAGATCGAAACAGCAGTACAGCCTGGATTGGAATAACTTTTAGAAAAGGAAAGCTATGTGAAATTCAATGAAAACGTCATGTATACACATATCTTTTTGGGAAAATTCAACTACCAGTCCTCTTATCACCTGAAACGGAATAAGATGAACATATCTAATATATATGATCTACCGGTAGACTCGAAAGCCTACTATAAATGAAGAATAAAGCGTGTCATCATTGCGAGATCATACGCTAGTTTATTTACCTAACTAAACAGCTGTGACCACATCCGATCCGTTTTTCATGCATAAACTTCACTTTGTCAATTCGTCTAACCGTAAACTGAAAGGAAATTCAAAGAGAAACTGGGTTTTGATGATTCTCCTGAGCTAACAGTATTGGGAGGACTTTCATTTCGTATGAAAGTCCCCCAAAAAATAAAGGGAGATTTCATTGTGGTGAAGACAGTTGAATTATGCCAAGGAGTCCTCGGCTCAGCGGCACGCAAATCCAAATAACCTATGCTTTTCTTTCCTCTGCCACGTGACAGAAATCATAAGAGTAAGAAACCATAATTTACGAATAACCACAACAGTTTATATTGTCGGGGACTTCCTAAAATCCCATTTGGTCCTACTCTGATTTACTGTCCATTTTCACACCTCTAGTTTTCCGTCTTTTATTTATGTCAGATGTGATTCTGATAATACACTATTGTTGTACAATTTCGTATGATTTCTTACTCCATTGATGGCTGTCCCATGATAGACGAAAGTTCAGCACGGATTCATCGGAGTCGCAGGACGGTGAGCCGAGGACTTCTTGGCACAATCCAAGAGTCTTCACTTCAATACAATCCACCTTTGGTTTCCGATTAGACCAATTAACCAATTCCTTCCAACTACCTTATCTTTCAAAATGGATAGCCAAATCACTCCAACTCAATAAGGAATACTTCGAAACCCAACTTTTCTTCATATATACTAAGACATGTAGCTTGTGGGGCCGTGTGTTCGTCCCCAGCCTAGTAATCTACCATATAAAGATTGTTGGGGGAACCATTTTCATATGAACGAGGTAAGAGCTGCAGTCCCTTATTCGGGACTCCTGGTACAATAAAAGTTCACGATGAAATCAGGACTCTTTTTCAATTAACTATGTCTAGCCTGATTATCAGCCAGTGCCTACCGTTTCATATAAAACATGGTACACTATTGATTGCATGCACGGCAATTTTTATTGAGCAGAACGCGCATGGCATGTATATCTCTTGCTTATTCTAATGGTATGAACAGGTAAAATTCGGAACTGTTGGAAGGGCCTACGCAGTAGTTTTTATTTTTATAACCACTATGCCAAAGTCAACTTTAAATAGACTCTCTTGTGCCTCAAAAAGTGGTTGACAAGACGAATTGTACGCTGTCTAGACTTGCCCGGAAATCACGAAGTTAAAAAGCAGCGAGGCATTTACTGTTTGCGATGTGTTTCACATTTATAAACTTGCGTCTTCATCATTAGTTGGGCCTGAAGCGGAGTTCTAGTACCGCCAATCAAGGTTGTGAGTAAGATTTAAAAAATGGATCTAATTGCTCGAACCCATAAAAGACTCGATAAATATGGTCTTCTTCTTATAAGAGAACGTTGTGACATCTGATTTAGTCGTAATCTGAACTTTTTGTATGCCTTTTTATTGCTGTGTTTTCACATCTCTAGTTTTTGGTCTTCTTGTTTCAGTCCAGAATAGACCTAAAAATGAGATTCCGACAATTAAAAATGCTACAGCTAAGCTTGTGGTAGATGTGAATGTATTCACCGGCTTTCGAATCGCCCAAGTAAATACCTTGCATCACAGGAAAGTAACACAGTGAAGGTTTGAAAATAAAGCCAGACTATGGAGTCAGCTACACTCAATGCCCATGACATGAATGCCCCAAAAAGTGAGCAAGAAGCCAGTGGCTTCAGGCAAGAGAGTAGAACTAAGATTGAATGCAAACTCCTAAAGCCTGGACCTTGAATC